CGCTCGCGCGTTCACGCTCGCGCGATGGATGCACGCGCTATGCGTTTTGTATACAAGCATGGCAATGTTACTTCGGAAACCCAATGGCGAAAACCCAATGTAAAATTTCATTCTCTGGACGCAACAAGCGGCTATATCAACCGCAAATGCATGGAACCGTATATAATCACATCCACCGAGCGCGCTCGCGCACGCCAGCGGGTGACCAAGGTCACCCGCTCGCGCGCTCACGCTCGCGCGATGGATGCGCGCACTATGCGTTTTGTATACAAGCATGGCAATGTTACTTCGGAAACCCAATGGCGAAAACCCAATGTAAAATTTCATTCTCTCGGCACAACAAGCGGCTATACCAGCCGCAAATGTATGAAACCGTATACAAATATATCTACGAGCGCGCTCGCGCACGCCAGCCGGTGACCATGGTCACCCGCTCCAAGGCTCATGTGTGCGCGATCGATGCATGTGCTCTGTGTTTTGTATACAAGCATGGCAATGTTACTTCGGAAACCCAATGGCGAAAACCCAATGTACAATTTCATTCTCTGGACGCAACAAGCGGCTATACCAATCACAAATATATGGAACCGTATACACACACATCCATCGGGCGCGCTCGCGCACGCCAGCGGGTGACCGTGGTCACCCGCTCGCGGGCTCACGCGCGCGCGATGGATGGATGTAGTATGCGTTTTGTATACAAGCATGGCAATGTTACCTCGGAAACCCAATGGCGAACACCCAATGTAAACTTTCATTCCCTGGACGCAACAAGCGGCTATATCAACCACAAATCTACGACACCGCATACAATCAAATACACCGAGCGCGCTCGCGCACGCCAGCGGGTGACCATGGTCACCCGCTCGCGCGCCCACGCGCGCGCGATGGATGCATGTACTATTCGTTTTTATATACATGCATGGAGGAGGAGGAGAAGGAGGAGGAGGAGGAGGAGGAGGGAGGAGGAGGACGAGGACGAGGATGGGGATGAGGAGGAGGAAGAGGAGCAGCAGGAGGAGGAGGAGGAGGAGGAGGAGGAGGAGGAGGAGGAGGAGGAGGAGGAGGAGGAGGAGGTAGGAGGAGGCATAAGAGGACCAGGTATCCAGGAGATGTCCAGAGGGTATCCAGGAGGCTTCCAGAGGGTAGCCAGAGGATTTCCAGAGGGCTTCCAAAAGGGGTTTCCAGAGGGTTTCCAAAGGTTCCCCCAAGGGTTTCCGTAGGGTTCGCAACGGGTGCCCGCAGGATTTACAAAGGGTTTCTAAAAGGTTTGCAAAGAAGTTTCCCGAGGGCTCCCAGCGGCTGTCGAACAAAAAAAGGTATCCAATGATTTCGAACAAAAATGTCCAGAAGGTTGCCCAATGATTTCAAAAGGGTATCCAAAGGGTTTTCAACACGTTTCCGAAAGGTTTCCAAAGGATTTTCCCGAATCCCCAAACGATTCCCAAAAGGGTTTCGAAGAGGCTGACAAAGAGGTTTCCATAGGGTGTCCAAAAGGTTTCGAATAGATTTCCAGAGGGTTGCCAAAAGGTGCTTCCAGAAGGTTCCTAATGGGTTCGCAAAGGATCCCCAAAAGGTTTCCAAAAAGGTCTCCAACGTATTTCCAGAGGGTCCCCAACGGGGTTCCAGAAGGCGCCCAGAGGGTTCCCTGACGGTTCTCCATACATAGGTTTCCAAAGGGTTCTCCAAAGGTTCCCAGAGGGTTCTCCATAGGTTTCCAGAAGGTGTCCAAGAGGTTCTTCGGAGGTCGATGAGTTCCCAAGAGGGTTCCAGAGGTCCGAGAGGCTCTTCAGAGGCTCTTCAGAAACTCTTCAGAAGGTCTTCAGAGGCTCTTCAAGAGGCTCTTCAAAGGCTCTTCAGAGGCTCTGCAAAGGCTCCGTGGAGGCTCTCCAGAAGCTCTGCGGAGGCTCTTCAACAGGCTCTTCAGAGACTCTCCAGGAGCTCGGCAGAGGATCTTCAGAGGCTCTTCGGAAGCTCTTCAGAGGCTGCGCATAGGCTCCACAGGGGCTCGGCAGAAACTCTTCAGAGGCTCTGCGGAGGCCCTTCAGAGGTTGTTCAGAGGCTGTT